AATACACTGGCTCCAGCATCCAGTTCCCTCACAAAGTCAGCAGTCGAGGGGGTTAATCCACCTAATGCCCCCACAATTACGGGCACGATCTTGACCCGCACCTGCCACATCTGCTCCACCTCATGCTTCAGGCCTTGATATTTCTGTATCTTTTCCACAGATTTTCGGCGGATGTTCCTATCCAGAGGGACACTTACGTCCACAAGGAACGCTTCATCTTTGCCCTTGATAATAATGTCTGGTCTGTTTGCTCCAACGGGCGCTGCTGTTGGAATTGGCACTTCCCAGTAGATTGACACATCCGTTTCAGCACTGTACACGACGTTGGTGAGTTGGTGACTTGTGTACTTATTCGAAATGTCCGATGCACCATACTTCCTGCACAATGCCCAGTGGAGATTTTTGCTAACCTGTTGTGGCGATTGACATAGTGACTTCCCGCACAAGCTGTACACGCTCCAATAAGGTGGAAAACCGTTTCCTTGTCCCTGCCACACATCCTGCAACTCGTTTTCGTTGACACACCTGTTCCTCGATTAACTTTGGAGTCCATGGTTCGATTTCGAACCATGGGCATTTTGTACGCATGTGGACACAGTCAAACTTTCGGTTCTCGGCCAAATCTTGACCAAATGCAACAATCGAAGGGTCTAAATGGTAGAGAAAACTCTCAGCTATTGCCTCGAACAAGTCCGAAGTCTCTTTGATCAAATTTGAGTGAGCGGGGAGCGATCAAACATATCGAATTTTCTGCACTGCGTGCTGAGAGTCAGCAGTGCGTGAAAAAAGGAATTTTCCCAGCTTCATGACAGGCGGCACGTGCCAGGACCGTCGCGGCGTGAAGTCACGGCAAGGTAAGCTTCTACTCGAAAAAAATTGAACAGTTCCGAGCTAGATTCAGTGAAACGGCTACAGGAGACTGATTTCGTCTCAGATCTGGAGCTGGACTCGCGTTTGGGGCGCGTTGTGGCGGACAATGAATAGTGCTCTTGGCGAGTTTGGGCTCATTGTATTTCTCTCATCAAGAGCTTTTCAACGAGCCCAAGATCTTCAAAATCGGTGAAGTAGAATCAAAGGTATGTTGGAAATGGAGTGCGCATTTTCGTGACTGCCACAAATTCTGCGGAAGCAAAATGTTACGGACTCCAAAGGGTTAAATATCTCTTGCAAGTTCCGTGTTGGGATAGCCTGGTCCTGTATGGCCATGACAATACTCTCTGTCGCCGGACGCAAAGCAGAAAACCGCAACCACGCAAAGGAGAGCCCTGGATCCAGCTCAGCATCCTGCAGCATCAGCCAAAATTGGCCATGCAGAGGCTTCTTTCTGATTGTCTCCTCCCCATGCCGCTGGTATCCCTGGCGTATTTGCTCCTTTGTGGCTGACTCCTCCATACCAATCTTTGCCAAATATTTCGCAGCATCACTGGAGACAGAGTATTTTGCTTTTTCATGATGGTACTGTTTTAGGAGAGCAATGGCAATGTGGTCTTGGTGGCCCTCGATGTATTTATTGATCTGGATGATGGATCGTTCATGTAGATCTACCACACTCTGGAATCCACGGCCGCCTTCGGCGCGCACCAAATGCACCCTCTCTCTGTCAGCCCGAGGGTGATGCCATCCCTTCTTGGTGAGCTTCTTCCTGAGCAAGATATCCAGCTGCTCCAATTCTACGGGTCGCCAGTTGATGATGCCAAAGCTGTAGGTGAGCAGTGGCACCGCGTATGTGTTTATTGCCTTTGCTAAATATCCAGCCGTTAATCCAGACTTGAAGATCGCATCTAATCGCTTTCCATAATCCTCACGAAGCTTGCTCTTTATCTCACCATGCGGCAGCGCAGCCGATTCAATCGATCCGAGGTATTTGTACATGTTATCTTCTTGCAGGGTGGGTAAAGCCATACCCAACAGTGTTTCGACAGGCTCCGCATCACTTGACTCAATCACTCCCTGGTGTACATGACGCGTGGCGCACTTCGAAACACCAAACTCCAGGCCAATGGCCGAAGCTGTGATCTGGGCGACGTTGATCATGGGCTTCAGCTGGTTGCGATGTTTGGCATACAATTTAATGGCATCCATGTACAGGAGTTGAGAAACGACCTTTGAGACCTGTCCAATTTGCATTTGATATCCGCCGCCTGTCTTCTGCACCTCTCTTGAAATGCAGTTTAAAATAGCTAAGCAAAACAAGAAGAGTGATTGTTACTGTCACACCGCCCAAGTTAGTTGGGTGGTGTGCTGCTTTGCTGCTTCGAATTGTAGTTAGACCGCTTTGTCAAATATCGTACTGGTCTCGTCATCGTCCAGTAACAATCGACATTCTTTGTTCCGTTGGGACTGTAGCTTTTGCTCGTTTTCGTTGCGCTTGCCTTCCCCTTTTTGGTCTTTCCATAACCTTGAACCTTCCAAGTTGGAAGGCTGTCGGTTAGCGCTACGGAGATGTGTTGAAGCTAGGTGTCAGGACGTCGAATGTCTCAGTACTCTGTCAGTTTTGTGCCTAGTTATTGCACTTTCTGACTGTATATAGTATCCAGTTACAGTGATGGAGAGTTACTCTTAACTCGTATCCTTATGTCCTTTTCCTTTCTACATTTATTTATGGCTCAACATCCGAGTTTCAAATTATTATTATTATTATTATTATTATTTTTTCTTATTTTGTTAGGGATTTCCCAACAGGCAATGTTGCATAAGCATGGTCAGCTGTAAATTTCCTTAGGGCAGCTTTGAACTTATAGAGCGAGGCTTCCGATGTTAGACTGGGGGGTAAACAGTTCCATAGAATAGCAGTTCGGAACATGAAGAGAGACTTAGACAATGATTTAAATTTGGGAAGAATGATTTTATTTGGTCGTCGCTCACTGTTCGTAATCTTGAAATGGAAATCAGCAAGGTAATCACGATGATGGAAAACATATCTGTGAAAAGTAGTGAGACTGATGATTTGACGACGATAGGCTAGTGACTCTAGGGAGCATTTAGAATTTAAGACAGATTTGGAAGAAGTGTAATCAAATGCAAATGGAAATCAGCAAGGTAATCACGATGATGGAAAACATATCTGTGAAAAGTAGTGAGACTGATGATTTGACGACGATAGGCTATTGACTCTAGAGAGCATTTAGAATTTAAGACAGATTTGGAAGAAGTGTAATCAAATGCAAATTTTTTCTTTTTCAGTAGAGCTCTAGCAAACCTTGCCTGTAATTGATGAAGAGTGGTCATGGGTTTCTTATTAGATCCAAACGACCACACCGTACAGCTATATTCGATCACAGGTCTTACGAACCCTTTGTACAGTATGATCATTGCCGAAGGCGTAAGTTGCTGGGACATAATTGACAGTAGGTGCACTCGATATCTGAACTTCGAAGTTATTGAGGCGACATGTTTGCGGAAATCCAGGTTGTCGGTCAAGGTGATGCCAAGATGTTGCAGTTCAGAAACCACCGTTAATGGCTCATTGTACATTTGGTATTGGATTCCTGCAGTAGGTGTATCATTGATAGCTCTATGGCACAGCACGGATGTCTTGCTTGCTGAGAATTCACCTCCATTGTTCCTGCCCCATGTTTGACATGCATCGAGATCAGACTGCATGTTCGCTCTACTGGCGAGGGTGTCTTCAGGTTTGTAAGCCAGTTGGAGGGTGACATCATCTGCAAATAGATATTGTGTGCAATGTTGCATAGCGTTGGGCAGGTCATTATAGAGTAGGAATAGGAGTGGTGAAAGGTGGGAACCTTGAGGCACTCCGCAGTTGATGTTCCGCTTCTTCGATTTAGTGCTATGTACCTTCACTTCAATTTGTCGATCCCCTAAGATAGTAAGAAGCTCTTCAGCCAATTTACTGACGAAGCTGTAGCAATCTTACCGAATTTCTTTAGGAGAATAGAGTGGTCGACCCGGTCGAATGCTTTCCTGAAATCTAGAGATATCAGGTCAAAATTAGTGCCATCATCAGTATTTACAGCCATTGATTGGGTTAGCAAGATAAGTTGGTCCGTTACAGACTTGTTGCGTACATATGCGAATTGACCTTTACAAATTACACCATCGGTCATCAAGTATCGAAGTAGACGTTCCGAGAGAATCTTTTCCATTAGTTTTGCTATGCATGGGAGAAGGGATATAGGCCTGTAATTGGTAGGCTCTTTGGCGCAACCTCTATTCTTGTACACCGGTATTACAGTGGATGATTTCCAGGAGGACGGGAACACACCATCATCAAGGCTGTAGTTGAACAATACTGATAGTGATTGGGAAAGGATGTCTGCGAATTGCTTTAGTATACGGTTTGTCAGGTTGATGTCTGATGATGATTTATGTTGTTGCAGCCTCCTTGCTGCGTCGAAGACTTCAATAGGGCGTATGTTTCCGAATCCAAATTTGTTTCCATCGACGTCGGCTTCATTGATTGTCATACTAGTTGCTACAGTATTCGGCGGCGTTGACTGAGTGGTGCATTGGCGGGCAAAGAAGGTACACAGCGTTTCGGCCTATTCCCCCTGCGCCTGCAGACTTTTTGACCCGGGACTCAGAGCCGGCCATGATCATGGGCCCTGAAAAAGGATGTCAGTACTGCAGTGCTAGTGCCGTAGTGTGATGCATCGATGGGGCATTTTTTCTGTTATAAACGAACACAAGCCTCTTTTACGGGCAAACTGAGTACGATTCACAGTGGCATGGCGAATGATTAGAACACAACACCAAAAAATGAAAACAATTCACGGTATGTATGTAACAGTACAATTTTATAATTTTTGGTAGAGGAAAGAGCCAAGCTCAAGCAAGAGTACTCGTAATAGTAAAATAATTATCCATGATTGTTATTTACGCGCGCTCCCTGGTCACCATGGTTGCTCAATCGTCGCGTCCGGGAAGCTACATAAAAAGTGTAGATCTGGCGTTTGTGTCCGGCGCGCGGCGCTGCGCCAGTCGCGCCGATCGAAACAGCGAGAATTATTGTACAATCATGTAGTATGTACGACGCACATCACATTTCGGAGAAGAAAATACTTTGCAGTTTGAACAGTCACTCCTTTCCAAAATTTGTAGGGTGTTTGGTGTCTGATCTGTTGGGGTTCTGTTGTGTCCCCGATCAGAGCCATGGACGCCTTGATGTTAGCGAAGGATGTTGTGCTGGTTGAACTTGTGAAAGTCATCCCCGACGACGTCAAAAATCTTGAAGAATCTGAAGTTCGACTTATTGCTTACACAACAGCAGTCGTTCTTGTTTTGACTTGGCTCTGGTCTTTTTTGAATCACAAGAAAAGCTTGTGGCAGAGGCTGAAGGATTTCTCATTCGGATTCTTGCGATCACTGCCTATTGTGAATGGCTATGTGAAATCAGAGCTGGACAAAATATTGACAGATCTCACGAAAGAAGATGCTTTTCGCACTCATAAAGGTGAAGTGTTCACCACGCGATTGCCTGCCTCAGGACTCGGCAGGAAACAGGTCGTAAGTCGTGCCACGGAGATGGATGAACTGCTTGGTGGTGCCGACTGGAAAAAGGGACGTTGCTCTGGCACGGTGTATTTCAACTCTGAGGAACTGAGTGAGACTTTGTGTGAGGTGTATTCGAAATTTGCCTGGTCCAACCCTCTCCATGCGGACGTATTTCCCAGTATAAGGAAGATGGAAGGCGAGGTGGTGCAAATGGTGGTGGAGATGTTCCATGGCCCTGAAAATGCGTGTGGCGCCATGACGTCAGGCGGCACGGAGAGCATTCTCATGGCATGCCGTGCTTACCGGCAGATCGGATACGAGCGGGGCATTGCCGTCCCCGAGATCGTCGCACCCTTCAGTGCTCATGCCGCGTTCGACAAGGCGTGTGAATACTTCCACATGAAGCTTGTACATGTAGCCCTTGATGAGCAGAGCCGGCAAGTTGATATCCGCGCAATGCGTAAGGCTATCACTAGCAGTACTGTCCTGTTGGTCGGCTCAGCACCACAATTCCCACACGGTGTTATTGATGATATTGAAGCTATTGCCGCACTTGGCCGTCAGTACAGTGTCGGTGTACACGTCGATGCCTGTCTCGGTGGCTTCCTGATCCCGTTCATGGAGGAAGCTGGCTTTCCACTGCCGCTCTTTGATTTCCGCGTTACCGGCGTGACAAGCATATCAGCCGACACTCACAAGTATGGCTTTGCACCCAAGGGTTCCTCGGTCATTTTGTATGCCAGCCATGACCTGCGCCACCGACAGTACTTCGTAGCACCCGACTGGCAAGGCGGCATATACGCATCACCGTCGATCGCTGGCAGCAGAGCCGGTGGCATTATTGCTGCCTGTTGGGCTGCCATGATGTTCATGGGTCAAGACGGTTACGTCACAAGCACGAAGAAGATCGTCACCACGGCGCGCTATATGAAGGAGTCTCTCAGCGATGTTCCCGGCATCTTTATCTACGGCGACCCCAACGTGTCTGTCATTGCTCTCGGCTCCAATGACTTTGACATCTATCGACTCGGCGCGGCCCTGGGCAAGCGTGGCTGGAACCTCAACACTCTTCAGTTCCCTGCCTCCATACACATCTGCTGCACACTGCGGCACACTGATGGCGGCGTTGGCGAGGCGTTCGTCACCGACGTCAAGGAATGCACGGCCGAGATCATGAAGTCACCGCGCGCCAAGAGCACCGGCTCGGCGGCTATCTACGGCATGGCGCAGTCCATTCCGGACCGCTCGCTCGTCAAGGAGATTGCCTGGGGCTTCCTCGACACCTGTCTCAATGCCAAGCATTGACCTGCAGCAACTGTGTATGGTAGCCAGTCACTGCGTAGCCCGTTGAAGGCCTGAGCCCGTTGAAGGCCTGTGCTACCAACGGTACATAAATCAAGTGCGTGAAACTCCGCAGCTGCTGCTCAGGATCCACGGCGGAACTTTGTGTTGACATCGCCTTGTCAGAATGCATCATATAGAACAAAAATAATCTTCCATGGGTCACCCCAAGCAGAGTTGCATACTCTTGCTTATCTGTTCCTGTTGTTACCCATCACAATAGGTCTATTTTCTCATCAGTGGTCTTCTCTTATGCATAAAATCAAGAACAAATTTTGATACTTTTTCTCTCTCTCCCAGAAATGCCATACTTCAAATCTTGTTTTGTCGAGTCGTGGTATAGCATGTTTTCAGAATTTGATACACCATGACTGCGGGTCAGTTATCGGAGTGGGTGCGTCTTTTCAGTTATCGATTTATGGTATCATCTGTTTCATCTCTATCTTGTTTTCGTGCAAGTAGGTTCTTGTCAGATATCTAGCCTGGTGTGTTGTTCCGGAGAAATCCGAAGAGTGTGTGCTTTGCTAAGAGAACAGGATTGTACAAAACTCCCCAGCTCCAATGCATGCGTAGAGCCGAGTTGGATCCAATCTATCGTACGGGGAAGAAAAAATGACCGGTTGTAGTACTGAATTGTGCAACAATGTGAAATGAAGGTGCAAAGCAGGGAGTATACCCGTATGTACTACTTCAAAAGTACGGCACTGCTCAATGAAATCCAGTCACGTCACTCAAGTATGCTGCGGGTGTGGCACTGCCCTACAGACTTGCCAACACCGGGGTGAGAATTGGTGCAAGGCGCAAACTTGAGTGACACGACTGGAAAATTTTCATTGAGCAGCACTGTTGTACTAAAAGTGTTACTACGAAGTAGTACTCCCTGGGCAAGGTACTGCAGCTCTGAAACAATCAGGGATCTAGTTGTGAAAACTCCCTGGGTACAATAATAATCAACAACTCACTTCTATCAGTGCACAATTTGGCAAAAGTGGGCAGCCCCTCTTTTTGTATGTCCGCGGTACCAACACATGTTCGCTTCACGGTGAAGCAGGAAACACATGTATACGCATTCCCCCCAGTACTGTCCATAGGTTCGTTTTGACAATCAAGGAAACATCCGGCCAACGATTAGTCGTGGAATCATTATTAAGTTAACCAATTGTAGTAATAACCAATTGGGTGCTGGCATGTTCTAAATCTTTAAATTTTGTTTTGTACAACTTTGCAATAGTGTTTGAAGATTTTGTTTTTGGATAAAAATGTATACTTTTGGTTAAAAAATAGATATAATATATTGAGAAGGCATGGATGTGGATTGCATCTGTGATTGGAGGGAAGTAACATAAAAGGGAGACATGTACAATCATGTAGCTCAGATCAAATTCCTGTAAATAGACGCCAATTCGAGGGTAAAATACACTTGGCTGTAGAAGCCTTTGAAGTTATATGGAGAAAATTATGTCTACTGAAATCTGTCTATAAAAGTCATCGGAAAAGACGCCTGAGACTGCACCAGTGTTATGTGAAAGTGAGTCAAAGACATGGCTGGGATTGGAGCTAAAGAGAAAGGTGCAGCTGCGCATACGGGTATTACGTCTGCGTGCTTGGTGAAATTAATTGGAAAAGTACTAGTTTAAAAATCCTCAATCTGCGGACAGAACCGACAGAAGTGTTGTTTTAAAAATCCAATAGAAGCCTCAATACGAGATGAGAATAACCTAGTAAAACATGTGAGCACCGGATTTTTGGATAAATTGATAGATACTATGCTGGCAGTCTACCGATAAAGAAGAATGAACAATGGCTGCATGTACGTAGCATACTGTCTCTAATGTGCCGTAGAAGATATAAATCACCCCATAAATCAGGGTTTCACACCGCTAACAAGTCTTGGAAAAATATACTAGTATAGGAAGACCCCAAAGTGAGGCCAGCTCAAACTTTGAGTGATGGGCATGGCAAGAAAAACAACCCAAAACAATAGAAAGCAGACAAAAAAATCAAACTTCAAGATCAAACCGCTTGTGTGAAGTTGTTGCCTGCTTCTGAAACAGAAGTATGCGTGTTCTGCTATTTGGTCCCAAATTTGGCCAAGACTGCAGCTCCTCCGATGATGATTAAAGCAGACATGGCAAACAAGGAAACTTTCACTTTGCCGCGAATTTCTAGCGCAAGGAAAGCAAATAACAGAAAAGCCAGCAGTCTTTTTCCAGGCACAAGGTCACCTGTTGATCAACACACTGTCATGTCTATACTGGTATCAGTTGAACATGAACAGAGAGGTAGAATGCTTTCTGCAAAAGTAAATATACGCGTCACACTAGCTTCATGGAGCCAAAACGAATAGCCTGCTAGTTTTCTCAAGCCATTTATCGGTATGCCATTGTTGCACTGCTCACCTTTGTAATAGAGAATTCCCCACAAGCCGTTCACGAGAATGCACGTCTGGGTTAGAGGGTAGCCGACGGCATTGCCCAAGTACTGCGTTGCGTACGTAGCCAGAAAGTAGCCGCATGCCTGGGCCGAACAAACACCGAACGGACAGGTGCGGAATGACGCACACGTGTTCTAGTACTGTTCAGCAGAGCACGCGCTACTGTCAATAACCAATGAGCAAGCAACGTGTGATATAGTCAACTTCGCGTATAACGACACTTGGCGGGGCTTCAGAAAAATGTTCTTATTCGCGAAGTGTCCTTATACCCAAAGTCTCATTATATGTATTGCAGTTGGATGGGACTTTGCTCAGGGCATGGAAATTCTGTCGTTATTCGCGAATTGTTGTTATATCCGCAGTCATTATTAACGAAGTTGACTGTACATAGCATGTTAGAGCTACACTGGTACAGGTTCTTGCATTGCAAAGATGTTTCTATCAATTCGAATATAAACACGCACGGTGACCTAGTTCAAAACGAATCATAGCGAGGACCCTGAGCTTGGCGACTCTCAGGTGTTGCTCTGCTCCTCTCAACGCTTACCCAGTAGAATCCGGTTACAAGTCCTTGCAATCCAACGCGATAGAAATGGAATGGCGGCCAGTTCGTGCCGTGCTTGATCAAGAACCATGTGAAGACTACGGGCAGGGTGACAATGGCAATTCCTGCTGCAAAGTTGACAGAGTAGCTGCACACATGTACAGGGAAACGCGCAAACCGACCACCCAACACACACACACACACACACACACACACACACGCACACGCACACACACACACACACACACACACACACACACACACACACACACACACACACATACCACACATAAGCACAGCACAATACAAAACACAAACCGTAAGGTCACTTCATTTAGCAGTACACGCACAGCCAGACCTCGCTTAACCGCACGCATCAGTTTTCCACAAAAAATATCCGGATCGGCGAGGGAACCGGATAATCGAACACACATACTGTATGTATGCATGGCATATACCAACGATTTTCTCCCAGATGGCGAGGGATCCGGATAAAAGAGGACCGGATAAACGAGGTCTGACTGTAGAAGCAAACTTGAGCACACGGTACAGTGAGCACACTTGAGTAGACGGTACAGTGAGTACACTGTGCCGGGTAACATTACCAGTTCCATGGTAGTTACCTGATAGCGGCATTCGGGTCACTGACAGCCTTGGAGTAGTAGTGAAATGGAACCATCAGCGATCCGTTTAGCACACCCACAACGATGGCCGCTGTTATGCCGATGATGAACGAGCCACCGCCACCACTCTGCGACGAGTCCCCCTCTGATGGTTTGGAAGACTGAACACTGAGCAGAGAGCGCTGCTCATCCTCGCTGTGGCCAAAACCTGCACGTACAGGAGTGCCATCATGCATGTCATCACCACACACACCACCACCATCATGCATGCCATCACCACACACACCACCACCATCATGCATGTCATCACCACACACACCACCATCATGCATGCCATCACCACACACACCACCACCATCATGCATGCCATCACCACACACACCACCTCCATCATGCATGCCATCACCACACACACTACCACCATCATGCATGCCATCACCACACACACCACCAAACATGCACAATAGCAATGGATGCATCACCTAAATATACAAGTACATTACCGGTACATGTATATACAAAACATAGGATCAAGAGTACGTAGTAGTAGTTTTTCGATGTTGACTGCATGTTACAAGGCGAGGACGCGTAGTGCTCCTGACTACAACCATAACCCGGTTGGCAGAGTCCCGGTCTTGCGACCATTTGAACCGTATTGGGAAAACTCAGGTTCGGACCCTCGTTACTCTAGGGGTTAGTAGGATTTAGAAATTTTCTTTTTTTGTGTTGTAGAAGTCGTCCTGTTGCCGCCGCAGCATTGTTCACGGTGTCGCGTTGCTGCCGCTGCAGGGATCACGTCTGCAGCAACGCGACAACGTGAACAATACTGCGGCGGCAACACGACGACTTCTACAACAACAAAAAAGAAATTTTCTAAATCCTACCAACCCCTAGAGTAACGAGGGTCCGAACCTGGGTTTTCCCAATACGGTTCAAATGGTCGCAAGACCGGGACTCTGCCAACCGGGTTATGGTTGTAGTCAGGAGCACTACGCGTCCTCGCCTTGTAACATGCTGTCAACATCGAAAAACATGTTAAACTACCAAGCAAGGCTTCTGTGTTTATACTAGTAGTAGTAGTAGTGTAGTCATAACTCCCAAGAGTGTGCAACTCCAGTCTGTGGGGGTCTGCGATGGCAGCAACTTCATATCGAGTGACAAACAAGTGGCAGCAACTTGATATCGAGTGACGACAACCTGTACACAATACTTGCACCCTGTGCATGATAGCAACAGGGTTGTACAATCTGGGTTAGGTACTCTTGATCAAATCAGTCAGATCCTGAAATGTTGAGCCTGATACAGTGATGCTGTGAAGAGCAGAAAGACTCCACGCAATTCAGCAACACAATCTTTAAACACCCTACATGTATAATACTAGCAGTCTGTAAGACATGATTTATAATTGCATGGAAATTTGATGTTTTTCAAAAATCCCTGGGCAAAATTGATATGAACACTGCGAAAATAATCATCTTTGCCTAGACCACAAGGGTGAACACAGACGTGTTTTCACGGGAACATAATTATTACATACCGGCACCGCTACATGTGCGCGCACTGGAATTAGATACAAACCAGGGTGACAAGAAGAGTATCCCAAAGCAAGAGAACCGATGTTCATACAGAGCACTCATACACAAAGGGCATTAATAAAATATGCTTTGTGAATACGGTACCGTATTTTTCGGAGTATAGTGCGCACTTTAGACGTGCTATTTTAGGCCCTAAATCGCAGGTGCGCACTATGCTCCGAATGTGAAATGCATGTACTTCAATGAAGATTGAAGTGCGCACCCTCAATGAAGATTGGGGGTGCGCGTTATACAAAGGTGCGCACTATACTCCGAAAAATACGGTATGTTCTCTGTATGTCTGCATGAAACAATATAATTGTGTGGAACAGAAGGTTCTCCTAGATTAGGTAGACTGAACGTACACATTCCCACGACTCGGTTAGGCACCTCCGATTGGCACATTGCTGCTCCACCGATGCCTACACAAAGGAGACAAAGGCCACCGATACTGCCTGGTAAGCTCTCCAGCTCCTCTTTGAACATGAGCACACCCCACAGGAACGACACCACCATAGTCAGACCAGCCCACACGGCTGGACCGACGGCATAGCTGTGCAGGCACAAGAAACACACACACACAATGTGCGGGCAACAAAACACATGCACACACACACACACATCGCCGAAGCGATGAAAACGAACAAGCTATGTTATGCATAGCAACTTGTGCTGGGGTTGTACGACTCACCAGCTTCCACAGCCGAGGCGGACACACATGAGCAGACATGCATGCATGGGGACCATTGGACGCCCATCGCCGGAGGCGATGATAGCGATGCTACAGCAGAAGCCATAGCAACTTTTGCTGGGATTGCACCATTCAACAGCTTGCAAGGCTGAAGAATTGACCACCACTATTCAGCCTGGTCTACACCACACAGCTATGAAGTGGCTTTTTTCTGGCCAGTGAATCCCTACTTTTTGGTCTTTTCTATTTTTTTCCCGCACACACATCACACCACATACTCCGGCATGCACTGGCTGTTGGTAACCACCCAGGAGAATGAAAGAAAAGTCAGGAAGAGTCTGAGAAAGAGAAGAAAGACGCGTGTGACCATAATCGTCGGGAATCGAACCCGCAACCTATCGATTGGAAATCGCTGCACATACCACTGCACCATATGGGACACACACATGCATGGGGACACACACACACACACACACACACACACACACACACACACACACACACACACACACACACCACTGAATCTACAGGGACATGAGCCAACACCTCTAATTATAACTTATCACACAAGAGCCTTTTCACAATAGAAACACCTGAAAAGCATGTGCGACAACAGGCTGGTAGTCTGTCTGTCTGTCTGTCTCTTCTGTGACATGGCTGAGTTCGATTAATAAAGTCGCACACGGCTCTCACAGTACAAAATGCGGCAGTTCGCCTGACTGACTCACCCAACGTTATTGATAGCAATGTAGCCAAAAATCTGACATGGCACCAACAGACCTGCATGTACAGTTTGAAACATAAAGAAACAAGCACATACCTCTATGTCTATGACACAACCAGACTGGGCTCGGGTCACACAGCGGGCAAAACTCAATAAGCAGCCCTATACACCTACTTGGTCCGGCTCATCGCAATTGTCGCTTATCTATCGCCACTAAGAACAGGAGGTTTTTTACCGCTCTGTGAAATTTCCAGTAGGCATAGTGAGGAAGCATGATACAAAAATACTCTCTGCCACAAGAAAAAAAATTCAGCAATGGAATCAGGTGAAGCGAGTCGAAGAAAGGAAGCAAGGTAAGCAAAATACACGAAATAAATCCGCGAAGGAGCGTGTTCTTGCACTCACACTCTTACAGGTCCAGAGTTCATTCAACTCTGCATCACTCGAGCTGCCGCGCCGTTACATGAGCTGACATTTGCTGGTGTCTAGCTGCTGGCGTAGACTGGATTATCTCTTTCTTTCTCAGGCTGTCGTATGGCAGCAATGGGAAAGGAACAGTTGTGGCTGTCACTTCGGTGCTTGAAGGAACTGTGGGCAGTGTGACCTGTGTGTCGCCACAGTGTATTAATTTTCAACAACGCCTTCGAGGCATACAGGCCTCTCCAGACAGCTGTTATACGCTCCACTGGATACGCTGACCACGACTCTTGTAGTGCTGCTGCTAGGTCCACCAAGCAAGGAACAACAACCGTCCGCCGGGCGCATCGCATCAAAAACACCTTTCTTCTTCAGCATGACCATGATGACGCTCATGCAGCTCCTACTCCTCTGCCGTGCACGCGTGCCTAGCCTGTCACGCTCCCCAGGATGTCAGTTGCCCCTACCACAGTTCCGGTCTTCGGGTCACTGCGCTTGGCTTTTGGCAACACAGACAGTGAATGACCAGATTCCCACTTCCCAAAAAAGTCGAACACATCGCGATTCAAAGCGCTAGTCGCGATCAGGTTTCTTTGGTGCCTCCTTTGACCTTGCCATCACAACCTCTCAAGCAAAAGTAAGTTAGATATCGTGATTGGACTGGGTTTTACCTGTGAAAAGGTGCGTGGGAGATAAGCGACAATTGCGATGAGCCGGACCAAGTACATCAAGCATAAATTGGGCAGTGGAACTAGATGAGGCGTGTGCCCCATCAGGAACAAGAAAGCAGTCAAAGCACACTAAGTACGAACTTATCTCAATACGCAGCAATACGCCCAATGACTCAGATGATGCACAGTTCTCCGTGACATCATATTGAATGAAGTGTGTGTAAGAAGAAGAGAGGGAAGAGTGAAGAAATCCCCTACGTTTGCGAGCTATACCAGTATGAGTACTTAAAGTACCATATAGATCTGTCTTACCAGCACCTATGATACCCCAGGTGAGCAGCATGATGGGATCAAAGTCTGTCGGCGTGTAGAAGGCAACACACATCAGTGTGCCTGACACACCAATGGAGAGATACACCTACAAGGCATACAAACACAGAAGTCACGTTACTATTACTGTGCAGAAGCCTGAGAGAGAGAGAGAGAGAGAGAGAGAGAGAGAGAGAGAGAGAGAGAGAGAGGGAGAGAGAGAGGGAGAGGGAGAGAGAGGGAGAGAGAGAAAGAGAGGGAGGGGAGAACGTCAACATAATCGTACATACACACTACATACCTGAAATACGCCTGGATCAATTTGCTGTGAGAAATGCCAAAGAGAGAAAAAGAAAGAAAGACGTCAACAGCAGTCAAAAGCAGGACTGTCTCTATTCCACCCTGCCATCCTAAAATGAACCTTGTAGGATTACATCTAATACCAAACATCTCTTTCTTAATTATGAGAGTTCACTTTCCCTTCCCCTCTTCTCTTTGGTGCGGCTTGTGAGGTTGGATGATCAGTTGAAAAGTTCATACAGATGTGCTATGGACACGTCAAGAACTTGATAGACTCCTAGAGATGCGCCATATAAATCTGCCAGATCCCAGTCCACAGTGTTGTTTGATGCCTGATGGGCCAGGCCACACACCAGTCCGTATTACTCATGCAAAGGAATGGACCAGGTTACGCCCGAACCCATTGACAGCACCAGGTGTACCATTACCCAGTAAGCTACATTCGACTGCATATACTGTAAAACCGGAAAGTTTAACGACCAAAAGGTTAAACGTTTTTTGTAATTTTGGCATAATAACGTTCAGAAAGTTTAACGATAGCTACCTGGCCACCCACCTGTATGCGCATCTTTACACAGACATCTCTTGATAACGTTTCTTCCAATAACGGAAAAAATTGGTCGTTAAAACGTTAGACTTTCCGGTTCTACAGTACACAAGCGTGTAGCCTGGGGGGGGGGGGGGGGGGGGGGGGCACGTGTACCCCCCCCCCCCTAACATTTCGACCTAGGTTCAGCATGCACATAATGACCATGAGTGACATGCACCAGACATCCTACACATATGCGGCCGTGCACCCCCTAAAAAGGGGGACCAGCTGCGCCCAGGGAGTCATATACAGCGGAACAGGAGAAAAACGGACACCGAGTTGACTAGCCCAAACAGTCCTCATTTCCCAGGTGCCCTCAATTCTCAGATGTCCTCCATTCCCAGGTGCTCACAATTCCCAGGTGCCCTCTATTCCCAGGTATCCTCAATTCCTAGGTGTCCTTTAGGACAGGTTCCACCATCATGTGCATATCATGTGCATACCTCATACCATTTTTCCGGTTGCAAGGTGTGGTGTACATACCGGTACCGTAATGTCGCGTATAAAAGCAGGTGCTTACGGCCGTATAAGCCGGGGTTCAAACCATGCTTCTATTCAAGTTATGCTTCTATTTTTAAACACGCTTCTACGTCAAAATCTTCAGCCTACACTGTCCAGTGCACATTGTCATACATGTACTTGCACGTATGCTTCTATTCAAATCGTGCTTCTGTGTCACGGCGCTCTTCAAAAAATCGGCTTCTATCCGAGTCATGCTTCTATACGGGTCATGCTTCTATACGGGTCATGCTTTTATACGCGACACTACAGTATATTATGTACATGCTGCTAAATGCGGCGATTGTGAAGGATCTACCATGATTCTAGATCAGTCTTACTAGTTCCTGCACGCTTGGCGACTTGATGAAGATACCATAGCAACCAAACGTCAGTATACAGGACAGCACCGATATCATGCCAAATATGGTCTGCTTGCTGCTGTGTTCGTCCGCTAGTTCGTCTTTCCACATGAAGCGGAGAGCGATGACGGTGGCAACGAGTGCACACACCATTGCCGTTACACAGAATCCAATCTTTTTATTCACCATTGTGATTGGTGCTTCTTGAGGCCAGTATCAGAGATTCACACTAGACCAAAGCTAGACTAAAGCTACACAGCCTTGCTAGCTTCCTGGACACCAAAGGCAAAGACTCGAGCCGAGAGGTAGAATGTGCTCCTTCTTTTCAACAGCAGTCCTTGCACAGACATTCGGCAGAACAGGTATTTTTTTTATTAATCACTGCTTGGCTCAAGCAAATCACTGATAAGTTCAAAGTCCGGCATGCGGCCTCTGGAAACACTGGATGACTTGGTGTACTGTAGTGCTAAGGTGCCATTCATCACAAAAACTTCCTGTCAGAAGTTTCTCTAAAATGTTCCGCACACAGTCACAGGCAAATTTATCTGACAGATGTCGGTCCACAGCCAGCCACCTGCATCAGACGCCAGTTTGGAATTTGTTGAAGATCGCCTACATATCCAGCTAGCTAGGTTCACTACGAAATGTTTGTTGGATCAGTTGTTGATGACTGTCTCTGAAGTAGTTTATGCAGTGTAACGTTGCGGATCGGACTGGGGTTGGGACATCGAGTGACCAGGTGACGACTTCCAGCTTCTTTTCAAAAACTGAAAAATCTTGCATGTTTTCCGCGGCCGCGCCGCGTGCATGCAGGCAAATTTATCTGACAGATGTCGGTCCACAGCCTAGCCAGCCACCCGCATCAGACGCCAGTTTGGAATTTGTTGAAGATCGCCTACATATCCAGCTACTGAGCTAGCTAGGACTAGGTTCACTACGAAATGTTTGTTGGATCAGTTGTTGATGACTGTCTCTGAAGTAGTTAATATTATGCAGTGTAACGTTGCGGATCGGACTGGGGTTGGGACCAGGGAGTAGTAAAATACTGTATTTTACTACTCCCTGGTTGGGACATCGAGTGACGACTTCCAGCTTCTTTTCAAAAACTGAAAAATCTTGCATGTTTTCCGCGGCCGCGCCGCGTGCATGCAATGTAACAAAATTGTTGTGGTCATTGACCTGTTTACAGGAAAAAAATATGGCACGTGCCTCGCGACACATGGCGCAAAAACTTTTCATGGCATATAATTATTATGATGATTTATATGTCTTATCTTTGGCAAATATTTTTTTAATTATTTGCAAACCCTCGAGCCTCCTTCGGCTTCTTCTGTTGATTCTGCATCATGTTGTGTCAGCTTGAGTTTTGAGTTTGTGCGTTCCAGTTCTGTTTGAATGTGTAAATCACTCGTATAGTACTTTTGACTAAGGAGGATGTCTGCTGCTTTGCCGTGTGTTCGGTTGGCTTCACGGCCACCTATCATATCGCCAGTTACGCGTGGTAAGTATGACCAACTAATTTCCAAATGCCAATGATACTAATTGTATCTACTTCGAAGTAGTATGTTAGTCGTTAAATTGTACTTTTGCAGTCATTTCATTTACATCAGAAACCCTCGTATGACTGCAGAACTGCTCGTGTAGCTCCATACATGCACCCATGCATCGCCGGCGCACATGTACCTCTTCTCCAAAGCTTCTGATTATTATTATTATTATTAAACTCAATCTCGTAGCATGTGCACGCATTGCTAATGTGGGGAGCAACCCCAGAGATGAGGGCGATAACCAGCCATGGTAAAAGTACAAAAGAAAACAAGAAAACAGTGGAAAGAAAGGAACAGGGATGAATGCTGATTTCAAATTTGTTGCATGTACTCCATGCGCAAACTGTATCTAGTAACCGATTTAGTTCACCTGATTCAGTTAGAGAGAGAGAGAGAGAGAGAGAGAGAGAGAGAGAGAGAGAGAGAGAGAGAGAGAGAGAGAGAGGTCATAACTCTAAAAAATGAAGAGTCCATAACCAAGGGTATGCACCTGTGGTTGTGGGTCAAAGTGCGGCACGATGTCTTCGTTATAGAACCTCTCCTACCAACCCGTAGCGCTCTGATGTGCGGTTCTAGAGTTTCGTAGCTTGAAAGTCGGGTCGCGGTAAATGTCGCGTGAACAGATTTGAAAGAGAGGTTTTCCCACCTTTCTGGGAATGCAGCAATGTAGTAATGCATACAAAATGGCACACGGATCCATTGAAGTTTGTGAACAAATTTTGAGGTTGTCGCAAGCAAGGAGAGCGGAGTAGCTGAGACTGGACTTTGTCGGAATACTGGCGTTGCAACTAAGACATTGGGCTGTGGCTAATCGCTGGTCAATTGACCCTCATGGTAGCAAGTGCTAGCCTAGTGTATTCCTCTTGTGACGAGCTTTCCAGGGACCCCCCCCCCCCCCCCAAGGTGGTAGAAATCGTTCAAAGTAAGCCACAATTAATGACCCGGAAAATAGTGAAATTTGAGGTGAGTTGACGTCAAATTCAGTCTGCGTACTTCTTCCCGGTACATAAAGGGTTAGGCCGTCATCACACTACGTTCTCCGACTCCCGTTTACGTCTACGTTTATGGTGAAATAACCAAAACGGGTGGTCGTGTCATCAGACAGGCACAGCTCTTGACGCGTACACTCAGTTAGGTTTTTGGAGAAATTTGAACGCACGTACATCGAAGTACAGGGTCGCTCGGAAAAAGGCTGGGGGAGATACGCACGTTCATACAAAAAGTCGTATACCCCCCCCCCCCCCCCCCCCCCCCTCTCCATACCACGTCTACGTCTCCCATTTTCTCTGTTCCCGTTTTCACCCCGTATACGGATCATCATGACAACCGACCAAAAACTCCTTACGTGGACGTAGACACAGCGCTTTGTACCATGGTGTGATGACAGCCTTAGCGATTGTGAATAATAACGGATAGTCACAAAGCTCCATACACCACCTGGCCGGGTGTTCTTGAAAAAGGAGCCCCATGATTTACTACAGAGTGAATATCCGTTCGCTGTAGCTAGGAATAGCATTTGACGTTCTGTGGAGTTTTAATAGTACGTCTTTTGCTGTTCTTTGCAATCATTGCAGGTCTGGCCACATCAGCTGACCTATGCTGTGATGCCGCTGCCAAGTCTGCTCCTGTCCCACACGCTGTTGCCACGTACAAGAAGCACCCGCTGAAGACCAGCATTTGCAGTGGCATGATTCATCCGACGACCTCAGTAAGTTGATATTTCAGTCCGTGTTGTCGCTCTTTGTCTGCCGAAAGTTTCTTCTCACCATAGCTAGCATTGAAAGTGAGGCTCTAACCCTTTTTTTGTGCACAGAATAACAGTCCGACGTTCAGTTCTTGCATGCTCAGCAGTTAATAACTTGCTGTAGTTTCAAAGTGCTAGTTCCAGCTGCTCTGAGCACTTGGCGGATGTTAGCTGATGAGCGACCCATAATGTTAAGAAGCGCTGGTATTGTTCCACACTCTGCCATCGTTTTAGCGATATTTCTCATAACGTTAACTGTCTTGAGTTGATATCGTTTTAGAACTAGGACTGTTTCCTTCATCGTTTTGCAGTTGTATTAGTCATGGTATGCACTCACGTTTGCAGCTTTGTATGCCATCCTAATCAGTATACTTTAGGTCTGATGCATTCCACAAGAGCAACTGGGAGAATAAGCTTTGACCATGGCGAGTTCTGCACGCCCAGAATAATATTCTCTGTGTAGATGTGCTGGCAATAGGCCCCGGGGACTAGTATGTTGTAGCAGCGAGTATGCACCTACAGTCCATTTCAAAAATATAGATGCATGGTATTTTTGAAATATTTCAAATTTGGCTGGAGCTTTTTGAGAATGTTTTTCGGAATATTGCTCAGGTCCTTCCCGCAATTACTCTCATATAGATTTTTAAGCGATCGGATAGCAAACGCCCAATTTCGAAATTTTTATGTTCTAAGTGATCACAGATTTTATGTGATAGATGCTGGCCTAACGGTTTTTTGAAATCACGCATCTATATTTTTGAAACGCACTGCACGAGAAGCTTGTTGTGTTGCTATTTATTACATGTTTTGTTTTGCGTATGTACTGGCTTTGTTGCTTGCAGAGCAACTATGCATGGGCCTCAGGCATGCTCGATATCCAGGAATTGGTGACTGATCCGAAAAATGCGATGACCAAACGATCGGAGACTTTATTTTACTGTAGCCTTCTGGTGGTATCGCTGGGATCGGACAACGCCTTGATGAGGTAGCGGATGTGAAGCCATGTGGCGTTTGTACTTTAGAATTCATTGTCAGTGTTTTGGCTCATGTCAAAGCCATATTATGTTATTTCTTCGTTTTGATTTGTCCGCTAGTGTTTGCATACTTGATGCCGTTGTGTCTGCTTGGGGTGCCTGGCCCACTATTATCCTTGATGCCGTTGTGTCTGCTTGGGGTGCCTGGCCCACTATTATCCTTGATGCCGTTGTGTCTGCTTGGGGTGCCTGGCCCACTATTATCCTTATTATGCGGCTGCACTGTGTCTCGAACACCTGAGCAGGGTAATGCCAGGAGCTGTGTTGCGCTTCCAATTTCCAAACACGGGCTCTTGTTTGCTCCAGTGCATCCAAACTACAGATCTAGTCCACACGCCAGTGTTTTGAAGTGTGAAAGAGAACAACGTCTTTCCATCTTGTCTCTGGCTGGATGTTGATCCAATCTCTGTAGCTTCTTCGATTCACATTATCTCACAAGTCTCCTGGCACTTTACTGTATATTTTTTATTCTAAAAATAATGCCAGGATCTCTCTCTCTCTCTCTCTCTCTCTCTCTCTCTCTCTCTCTCTCTCTCTCTCTCTCTCTCTCTCTCTCTCTCTCTCTCTCTCTCTCTCTCTCTCTCTCTCTCTCTCTCTCTCTCTCTCTCTCTCTCTCTCTCTCTCTCTCTCTCTCTCTCTCTCTCTCTCTCCCTCTGTTTTCTTTCTCCCACTCGCAGGCAGGAGTACTTTCATAAGGTGTTACTGCTGTGTCTGCAACATCACCAGAAGTTTAGTAGTCGATTTATGGTGAATGTTCGTTGTCCTATCTTGTCAGCCCTGGCATGTGATAGAACTCTGCTAGGAGACCGCCAAGTTTTGGAAATGTTTGAAGGTGAGGATACGGGCATCTGACATACATACACATACGTGCGCACACACACACACACACACGCGCGCGCACACACACACACACACATGCATGCACATACACACACGCACACACATACACACACGCACACACACATGCATACACCATGTACCATGTATACACCCGTCGCAAGAGAAGCACGCAAATCTGTAAATGCGCTGGATGTGCAACCACAGGTTTTCTCTTATAGCAACGATAGCGAACAAGATCTGAATGAGACAGATCAAGTCTTGCGCCAGATAACTGCCTAATCCACACAACTGGTGAAGCCATGTGAATCGACCACCAATGCACATCTGGTCTACACCACGCGGAGTACATCGGCATAAAACGGCCAAGACAGTTACCTATGCACACCCTACACTTGCTGGGGTAACCAGTATAGACAGCACGCTGCTTTGATAGAAACCGACACTAGATGCACTGGTACCTTGAAGTGAAATTGGAGTTACTTTATGGGGTATTCACATGATAGGCAAATCCACGTGCACCAGAAAGTTGCTATGGTATTTTACCTGTGAACGAGAAAAGTGCCTGAAAGTGGCTGAAAAGTGCAAGCGAGCTGGGGGCCCACTTTCACGATAATCGTGGCGTGCACGAGTACATTTACACCAAAAAGCGCGAAACAAGACTTGATTTTTTACGCGGCTCTTTATAGCATGATAATTATCGTATGTGTGTTTTGAAAATTTGAAATACAGTCAACTTCGCTAATAACGACTGCGGATATAACGACAATTCGCGAATAACGACAGAATGTCTATGCCCAGAGCAAAGTCCCATCCCACTGTAATACATATAATGAGACTTCGGGTATAACGACACTTCGCGAATAAGGACACCTTTTTGATGCCCCGCCGAGTGTCGTTATAAGCAAAGTTGACTGTACCCATGGCTACTGGTCGGTGAAGCATTCAAAAATGCAGACGTGCCTGTCGTCGAGTGCAGCTGTGTGAATCCACAAAGTCACTTTTCTCGTATGTCACTCCCTGTAAAACGTGCAAGTGCCTGTCGTGTGAATACCCCATTACCAACCAGCCTCGGCTACTGAGTACTGGGAACCCAGAGCCAACAGACATACCAACAACCTCAGCCATGAAAGCCACTATAGTAACGACACACTGGATTGTGGAGCCGAATTAGTCCAACTTCCAAATGCTTTGGCAAGAAGGTAGCATGCACACACACGCACACACACACGCACACACACACACACACACACACACACACACACCTGTCCTGTCCTGTAGAGCCACTACCACTAGGGTCACGTGGGCCCCGGAGGGGCAGCAGAGAGAGAGAAGCAGCACGCCACCCGATGGCGCTCCAGATGCGAGACTAGTCGGAACCGGCGAGAGCAGAATAAAATCTACACATATGCGGGAACTTGTCCCGTTCTCTGGCCGTTGGTCAGTGGCAGTGCGTTGAACAGCGATGGCGGTTGCGTCCCTGGGTTGAGCGGAAACAACGATTGCAGGTGCCACAGTGAGCATTGCAGCATCTCCGAGCGGTAGTGTCACCGGTGACAACAGCATCTGGTTCGGTCGGTACTGGGCACGAGGTAGAAGCGGAGCAACGGTGCACAGCCAAGCCTCCGCGGCTCCGGAACCAACGATGACACCGAGGGCACTGACATGCACCTCTCTGCTCCGAAACCGGCTTCTGCCGTTCAGCCGTGCACTTGTGCCTAGCGAGGTCACCCTGACGTGCGAAGTGCCGGGCGCATGTGAAACAAGTCACCGGTGCCGGAACGAGGGGATCCGGGGCGTCCGAGGTGTGAGCCAACCTCCAGTCTGGGCGAGAGTCACAGGCCACTCTGTACCAGTCCGCTTCAAGGTCTCGTGAGCGGAGGTCCTTTACAGCGCAGTCTTTCCACCGCCGCCATGGGCCATGTGCCGGGCGACAAGATGGCAGGGTGCCGAACAGCAACTGTTTGGGCAATCGCACGTCGTCCATGCGGGCGACATGGCCTAGCCACTCAAGGCGCCGATGCTGAACCTTGGTGACGATGGTTTCAGAGTCACCCCACCACTCAAGCAGCTGGTTGTTTGATATGTGGTCATCCCAGCAACGATGGCGTGTGATACCCAATATCGACCGCACGCATCGCATGTGGAAAACAGACATGCGACGGAGGTCCTGCTTCAGCGGCGTCCAGCACTCGGACCCATACAGGAGCAGAGACAGGACACAAGCATTAAACACACAGCGTTTAATATGAAGATCTAAGTTCTTGTTCCTGAAAACAGATTGCTGCAGAGCACCACAAGCCCGGGACGCACTTGCCACCCGAGCGCTGATATCCTGCGCTGATATCCTGCGAAGATCGGCCGCCACAGTGGATGATACACCCCAGGTACTTGAACTCCGGCACACACTCAATGTCCACACCGGCAAGCTGTATGGGCGCCTGGTCCGCAGCCATGACGCCAGCTCCCGCAACCAAGAACTTGGTTTTGGTCGCGCTCACGGTGAGGCCGAACTCCGAAGCGGTCGAGTTGAACAGGTCCAAGGCAATCTCAGCACCAGCACACGATGTTGCAAACAGGGAGGAATCGTCCGCGAACTGTGCCTCTAGGGCGGTGGCAGCGGTGTCAGCCCGGCGTGCCTTGCGATATAGTTGACCCTCACCATAGTGGTAGCTGAACTCGAAACCAACGCCAGGAATACCTCTGACCCTCTGTTGCCACTTGGTGACTACTGCCCACATGAAGATATTGAAGAGGACAGGAGCCATAGTGCAGCCTTGCCGCAAGCCGTTGGTGACTCTAAACGGATCCACATCTGTGCCACTCACGCGCAATACTGCAGACATCTCATGGTGGAAAGACCGGATGACTGCAAGCATGGGGGGAAGGACACCAGCACGGGAGAGCACCTGCCAGAGGCACTCACGGGGCACGGAATCGTAGGCCTTCTTCAGGTCAATGAAGACGAAGAAACCCTTGGCTGTATGCTCGATGGTCTTCTCGAGCAGCTGACGTCTGCTGAACACCATGTCCGTGCAGGATCTACCTCGCCGAAAGCCGCATTGTGATTCCGGGAGGAAGCTGCTGGCCAGGCCCTGGAGTCTCGTCTGAATGGGACTCGCCAGGACCTTGCCGACAACATCGAGCAGCGTGATGCCACGCCAGTTTTCGCATCAGGTCAGGTCCCCTTTCTTCGGAATTGGCACCAGGGTAGCGTCTACCCACTCCTGCGGCACTTGGCCGGCACGCCACACATCTCTGAATAGCTCCACAAACTTGTTGTTCAGCGACTCACCCCCTGCCTTCATCATCTCCGGCAAGACGCCCGAGGCTCCAGCAGCCTTGCCATTCTTCAAGCGAGCAACGGCACGGCACACTTCGCGCAGCGTGGGAGGTTCAGCGAGGTCTTCGGCAAGCGGTAGTTGAGGGATACCATTCAGCGCGTTCGGTGTCCAAGTGCTCATGACGTTGAGCACTCCAGAGAAGTGCCTTCCCCAGCGCTGTCCCTGCTCACGCGGTGACGTGCGTATATTTCCGTTCTCGTCAACGATCGCTGCTGTCCGTAGTGGTTGAAGGCCGCGCCCAGCAGACTGGAGGTCATGGATACATTTCCACACGACAGCGCCACACACACACACACGCACGCACACACACACACACACACACACACACACACACACACTTGTTGTACTTGTTGCTCACTGCCGAAACTGGTCACATGGGTCTCCCCGGGACAGGGGAGAGAGACTCAAAAGGAATCTTGGAAAGATGACTCAATTGGCTATTGAACCGCCCAGCGGCCAACACCCCCTGAAATCCCCAAAACTCTGGGTGGACTTGAAAATGATCCCACTTATGGGCTCACCACACCTCAGTAAGTGGGTGAGGACAAGGTGCAGAAAAAGGATTGACGGCATCAGGGTGTCAGTCCTGGGATCCAACTGCAGTTACCCCTGCCCCCAGTGAAGGTAATACTTGCTACTAGTGTGGGTGGCTAAGTCAGAGTGGATCTGATACAAGCTTCACTAGCACCATGATTACACAAGAGTTAATCTAGCCAGAAGTAGTCCATGGTTAACAGGTATGTATACTTCAAATAGAAAGTATAATTATGAACCCCGAAACCAACAAAGGTGGTAGGTGCAACATTACACCTTCAAGCAGCCGAGCCCGTTGGCAACAGACCCAACACTATCCGGCATAAGTGTACCCACCAACTGAACTAGCTGGCACACACACCTTGAACCTTGAACGCCCATTGCCGTAGCAATGATAGCGATGGCTTCCTCACGCTGAGGCTCTAAACTCGAAATCTGCAGTATGGCGCATGCCGCTTGAGGTCACCAGGACGACGGAACACTCTGTCACAGCGGTAGTTGGGGCACGGGATGTCTGGGGCTTCCTTCTCGACCCTCTGTCGACAACACTGAAACCAGGTGGATCTCTCCTGCGCTGTGTCATACCAGTCCGCTTCAGGTAAACCGATGACAGCAAAGTCCGAGGACACAACATCCCGCCAGCGCTTCTTGGGACCATGTTGCGGGCGTTTGCAGGGCAGTTCGCCGAACAGCATCTGCTTGGGCAGCCGGGTCTCCTTCATCCGTGCAACATGACCAAGCCACCGCAAGCGGTGCTTCCTGATCACATCGGCCATGTCGACGTCCACCCCTGCCAGCTCACTCAGCGATGCTGACGACAATCTCTCCTCCCATTGCTCACGACGAGAGATACCGAGAATTGTGCGAATACACTGATGGTGAAAGGTGTTGAGTCGGCGAATATGACCCGCTTTGATGGGCCATGTCTCCGCACCGTAGAGAAGAGCAGGAAGGACGATAGCACGATACACCAGCCGCTTGGTGTGGACCGAGAGATGTACGCACTGAAATATCGGAGACCTGAGCACGCCGAACAGCCGGGACGCCTGCGCCAAACGAGCAGCGAGGTCCGCATCCACCGTTCCGTCAGCAGAGAGCACGCTGCCAAGGTACCGGAACCCGTCCACCATGTCAATCCTGCTATCACCACCGAGTTGAACGGGATCAACTGATGTTGGTTGACCCACCGCCATGCCCTTCGTCTTCCTAATGCTGACGGTCAGTCCCCACCGCTGTGCACACAAAATGAACTCGGACGTCATGCACTCAAATCTCTCTCTGGTGGTTGCATACAACGCTGCATCATCGGCGAACTGGGACTCAGTCACCCTCGTCGCGGATAACCGGGACTTCGCCGTGCGGTCCCCAACCAGCTTGCGACCGTTTCTGAACAGCAGGTCAACTCCAGCGTCTGGACAACGTGCGCGCCAGTCCGCAACCACCACACTGAAATACAGGTTGAAGAGGGTGGGTGCTAGGGTACATCCTTGACGCAGCCCATTAGTCACAGAGATGTTGTCGGAAAGCTTACCGTTGACTCGCACCTTCGCAATCATACCCTCATGAAGAGACTTGATGAGTCCCAACATAACCGGCGGAACACCCAGCCTATCCAGCACACTCCAGAGCGCTGTACGGGGATGGAGTCGTACGCCTTCTGAAGATCTACAAACAAGACGTAAAGAGACGTATCGTGCTCAATAGTCTTCTCCACTAGTTGACGTGCACAGAAGATCATGTCCGTGCAACATCGACCTCGCCGAAAACCGCACTGAGAATCCGGGAGAATTTCCTCAGCCACCACCTGCAAACGGTCCTGCATAACCCGGGCAAACACCTTTCCAGCGACATCCAGTAAGCTGATGCCCCTCCAGTTATCGCAGCAGCGAAGGTCACCTTTCTTGGGGACAGGGACCACCACCGCATTCCGCCAATCATCCACTACTGAACCCTTGGCCCAGATGTCACCCAAGAGTTGGTGGAAAGCAGCAAGAAAGTCTGCTCCAGCATGGACTAGCATATCCGGCAATATGCCCGATTCACCACCAGCTTAACCGAGGCTCAGCTTCTTGAGAGCACGGCTAATTTCTTGGTGCGTGGGCGGGTTATCTAACTCATGGCGGGTAGGACGGCGTTCCAGGGACTCCAGCGAACTGTCGGAAAACTGACTTGTGATGTTGAGGACACCATCAAAATGCCGCTGCCAGCGGTCACAAGTTGCAGCAGGGTCGGTCGTAAGGTTACCATTCTCGTCCAGCACAGACAAGGGACGTGCTGGCTTACGGCCAACATTCACTTCCTGTAATTGGCGGACACACTCCCACCGCATCCTGCTATGGCAATCCAAGTTGTCAGCATGGGTGGCGACCCGCTCGATCCACGCTTCCTTTGCAGCATTCACGGCACGCTGCACCGCCCTCTGCTGCGTACGAAACACCAGCTTGCTATCACGAGTGTCCTTCTGAAGGAACTCCTGGTGTGCTGCATTCTTCCGCTCAATCAGAGGCCTGAGGGTATCTGCGCTGTCACGGAACCAGTCCGGCTGTCGTCGTGTCTCGTATCCCAACACCTCGCTGGAAGCCGCCACCACGCATTTGCGCATTGCCGCCCACTCCTGCTCTGTGTCCACACCACCATCCACGTCCACAGCCTCAGCAGGCAGGAGGTCAGACACTTTCTCTGAAAACGCCTTACTCACTTTGTCATCCCTCAGCCTAGCAACAGCAATTGATGGGCACACACACACACACACACACACACACACACACACACACACACACACACACACACACACACACACACACACACACACACACACACACACACACACACACACACACACACACACACACACACACACACACACACACACACACACACACACACACACACACACACACACACACACACACACACACACACACACACACACACACACACACACACACACACACACACACACACACACACATACTCACACTACGCACGCACACACACACACACACACACACACACACACACACACACACACACACACACACACACACACATACTCACACACACACACACACACACACACACACACACACACACACACACACACACACACACACACACACACACACACTTGTACTTACTTACTTGTACTTGTTGCTCACTGCCAAAACTGGTCACGTGAGTCCCCCCCGGGAGAGGGGAGAGAGACTCAAAAGGCATCTTGGAAAGATGACTCAATTGGTTATTGAACCGCCCAACGGCCGACACCCCCTGAAATCCCCAAAACTCTGGGTGGACTTGAAAATGACCCCACTTATGGGCTCACCACACCTCACACACACACACACACACACATCTTCTCATGAGGTCGTAACTCAACCACTTCCCCCTATGAAACGACTTCCCTCTGAAACCGTTTCTTTTCCCGTTCCCTCGAGCCTCCAGTTTAACTACATGTATACTAGCATTGCGTTTCCTTTTGTTCTCTGGTGTATCGGTTCTTCAGAGCTTTTCTGTACTGACATTCTTGGAATTTTCAAACCTATCCCTACACGTGGGCGTGTGAGCGAGTGGGCAACAGGTACTCTGCTGAAGGAGTCACCTCGCGAAAGAGCTTTGGTTCCACCGTAAGTGTACAATTACATGTACCGTAATGTCATGTATAAAAGCAGGTGCTTACGGCCGTATAAGCCGGGGTTCAAACCATGCTTCTGTTCAAGTTATGCTTCTACGTCAATATCATCAGTCTGCACTGTGCAGTGCGTACTGCCTCGTACTCGCACATGTACTTTGCAGGGACCGGCTTCTATTCAAACCATGCTTCTGTGTCACGGCACGCTTTGGAAAATCGGCTTCTATTCGAGTCATGCTTCTATGCAGGTCATGCTTTTATACGCGACACTACAGTATACTGTGTGGGGCGAATATAGTGCTGTGCAAAGTTTGGCTATCGTTCCAAAAAAAGACTGGCATCTATACCATTTACAAACTGCAATCGCTTTGTGATTTTTTTAAATTGGGCGCTTGTTATGCCATCGCTTAGATGTTTTGTATGAGGAAAGTTGCCTAGCTTGTCTCGGCAAAGTCCTACAGAAAACTACCTTGCTACTCGTCAACAGGGATTGCAGCAGCAAGCCAGTTGAGTGTGAAATAAAGTCAGCAGGGATAGCAGTTGTGAATCAGGTCAAGTGTTGAATCAGGTTAGCAGAAAGTGCTGGTGATTCAACGTTGGAAGAAATTTATATTGTTGAGATCATCAATGGAGTCGCTTTCAGTATTCTCTGGTGTTTATTTTGTTTTGTTTCTATATAGTGATACGCTTGCGAAGATGGTGGGTTTGTGGCAGCGTCTATCATCGTCTGCTTCGGGTGATATGAAATACTACTTTCAGCTTCGTCCACTTTTGGTAGGGCTCGGCTCTTGTGCGTGTGTGCATCCGTGCGTGCGTGTGTGTGTGCGATGGGTACACTTATGCCAGATAGTGTTGGGTCTGTTGCCAACGGGCTCGGCTGCTTGGAGGTGTAAAGTTGTACCTGCCATCATGGACTAGTTCTGGCTAGATCAACTCTTGTGTAATCAAGTGTGATAGTGAGGCTTATATCAGATCCACTCTGATTAGCCACCCACACTAGTAGCAAGTATTATCTTCTCTGGGGTCAGGGGTAAATGCAGTTGGATCCCGGGACGGATATGTGTGTGTATGGGGGGGGGGGGGCAAGTTTCAATTCCAATGTCCTAATTGCTAGAGGCGTTTAAAATGGCGAAACGACTTATCCCGTCACCACCGCCCATGCCTCCTCTCGTCTTCGTCTCGCTCAACGAGAAACGCGTGACCTACATGGCAGTGTATACCAGGACCAGGTGTGTGTGTGTGTGTGTGTGTGTGTATGTGTGTGTGTGTGCGCGTGTGTATGTGTGTATTGAACTTTGAAAATGAATTATTATTTGAGCCCCGGCCAGCGAAAACCAGCACTTGTGTACTTGATATCAATCATCAAAATGTGACGTCAAAGTTTGGGACGCGCAGTGAGGTGGCTTTTGAAGATTCTTTTTCGATCGAGTGGGTGTCTTTGTTGTCAAAGGAGTTTCAAGTGTCTTCAAATGTCTCTGGTCAATTGATTTTAGCGCTAGGTGAGAGCTTGTCACAGGGAGGTTGAGTTTAGACACAGCGATGGCGACAGGTGTCGCGACAAGGACCAGAGTTGTCAGCGTGAGACTCCCTGTACGAAGCGGCGCTGAAAGTTAGTTCGCGATCGGAATTATTTCTTTGGCGGCGATCTCGCTGATTTTGTCCAGCAGTGGCGAGTCTCATATGCATAGCAACGAAGAGCCCTCATAAAATCGACACTGGATACTGGTGGCGACGATAGTCAGCGCTGGAGTAATAGCGACTGCGAGGAGAAGCTGAATGTCGACCCGCTGAGCGATCCGTATTTCTACATCGACGACAATGATGTTGCAGGCACTGATGGAGGGCTTCTCACGGCGCAAAACAGAGCGTAGTATTATCAGTACTCTACCTTGCCAGACGACGCCAAGCTGGCTGCTGCCTGTGCTGAGAAAAGGGATCCCTAAAAAGTCAAACCGGCTGAACGCTTTGGGGCAACATCTTCACGTGCTACAAAACGCGAGTATACGCTCGTATCAGTGAAATACAATTATGCTGAAATCATGGTCTGAGTGAAAGTGTGCAAGGGAGTGGATGTCAGTGGTATTGGTCAGTACATCTATCAGTATGGCAAGCTTTGGGACAACGCTCAAACTGCCACCACAGAGGTCCCTGAACACAATTTGGAAGGCCAGCCACCAATCATCGTTTTGCACTCTGGTGTTGTAAAGAAGGTAGTGGTGTATACAGAATATCGTCACACTTCTGAACTACTCATGCCTGCAGCACCAAGAGGGCAAGCCTGACTTGCATTCTATTTACTTACATGTACCTGTTCCACATCACAATTAGAAACTGTAGGATCAACTTACGTGCATGGAGTCACTAGGCATGGATGCTGCGCGAACTGTACCGAATCTTGACCTGTGTGACTTCAAACTCTATTTTCCATGCTTTCGCTTATCAGATTGTCACCAAACTTGATAACTTGAATGATTAATAGTGTAGAATCAATTTCGAGCGAAAAAATAATTTTTGAAAAAATTACACATGTTCAGGTTTCTGCTGGCTGGGGCTCATTTACTTCTGATGTGCAGTATTATTTTGTCTGCCGCGGTTGTGCTTATTGCATTTGTTGACGTTGTTGTTTGCCACTGCAGCTCCGAGAAGCCTTGTTGCTCTCCCCTTTCTTGTCAGAGCAGCAGTTCGCACATCATTACAGTGCACTCTTCGTGTAAGTAGGCTATCCCGTTGTGCACCAGGCTTTAACGGGGAAGTTAAGGCAAAAATTAAAATTTCACCAGTTGTAGTCTTCGGGGTGCTGAGTCGAATGGTCTTGGTCCGAGAAAGCTGAGACGCTCCCTTCCTACTTGAATCCCAATCGAACTCGCGCACTTCCACCGAAACTGGGTGACTGCGCCCTACTAGATGGGGATTTGTATGTAAAATGTCACTAAAAGCGCCATTTCGTTCTTATAAAAGCACGGATGACCGCGATTGGCCCATATGTTGTACTCTTTTGGACGCTGAGTCGATTGGTTTTGGTCCAAAAAGGCTGCGATGCAGCGTTCCTCCTTTATTCCCAATCGAACATGGTTGAACAAGTGGTCACGTGCTCCTGCGTACACCAGTCACCTGGTCACCGTGCCTGCAGGGTACAACTTACTAGCCTGTTTGACCTTTTTTGGGTGCAGTCCTGTCACTCGAGTTGAACTCGAGTTGAACCTTGGTGTGAAAGTTGTCGCCTGTTGGCGTGGTGACCAGGTGATTTGGGCACCCAGGAGCACGTGACCGCTTGTTCAACCATGTTCGATTGGGAATAAAGGAGGAACGCTGCATCGCAGCCTTTTCGGACCAAAACCAGTCGACTCAGCGTCCAAAAGAGTACAACATATGGGCCAATTGCGGTCATCCGTGCTTTTATAAGAACGAAATGGCGCTTTTAGTGACATTTTGCATACAAATCCCCATCTAGTAGGGCGCAGTCACCCAGTTTCGGTGGAAGTGCGCGAGTTTGATTGGGATTCAAGTAGTGTTGAAACGATCTCACCGGGTACTCGTTAGCTCGCTCGCCAGAAACTCGGCTCGTTTGTGCGGCCAGCTCGTTTGCACTAACGAGCACCGTACACTATACTCCGTACATATTTCAGTACATTTCGATCGGGGAGTCGTAAAATATTGTACAACTCTCTGGTCGATCAAGAGTCCAGTCCCGCGCAAAGTGAAAATCACTCGCAGTTACAGTGACTGTATGCCTGCACGACACTTGAGTTGTTTCAGTTGTCGTTGCAGCTTTGGTGGACTCCACTGATGTCTTGTTCCGCATCTGCTAACCTGTCGCAGGACACGCTTCGGTCAACTCTGCATTCGAGTGAAAGTTACGCTCAGTCGTTTGGAAGTTCTCCCGCGATGCAGCGAAGAACAAGGCTACTTGCAATTGTTGCAAAACAGTCTATTCTTACAAAGGCTGCTCAAAGTTGGCGCTGAAAAATATCTCGACACCAAACAGCAGTCCGAAGTGAAGCAGCAGGAACCCCAAATGTCGGCGGTGATAATTTGAACCATATGAAAAAAAATCGAACTGTAATAGAAAAAATATCCAAAAAATGATTATTTGCATTTTTTGTCACATCAATGAAACTCGTTAGCTCGCTCGATAGCTTGCTCGGTAGTGGAACTGATCGCTCGTTTGTTATAGATACGCTCGTTTCAACACTAGATTCAAGTAGGAAGGGAGCGTCTCAGCTTTCTCGGACCAAGACCATTCGACTCAGCACTCCGAAGACTACAACTGGTGAAATTTTAATTTTTGCCTTAACTTCCCCTTTAATAGCTATGTGTATCTCACCCTACAGACTGGCATAGTACACTACCTGCGGCCAGGTTCTGTTGACACATCCATCTAGTTGCTGTACCGGAACAGTCTGTGCGCTTTCCCATCCTTCCCACTCGTGCCCCTCTGCTCATGTATTCACTTCCACAGTGCTGCTCAATGAAATCCTATTACTGCTTACTAGTTAGCGAGTCAATAGCATGCTGGGGTGCTGTGCAGCCCCAGACCTGCGGACACCGGAATGTGAACTGGTGCAGGGCACAGGCTTGACTCAAGCGGTCCGATTTCTTGGAGCAGCACTGTACATTGGTACAATGTGGTGCAGTTTCTGCTTTATAATGGTGGTGGTTTGGCTTTCCAATCTCATGTGATTGGACTCAGTACATATAATGGCTAGAAATAAACAAAGTGATGCTGACATATGAAAGAATTCACAAGGCAAGAACCAGCTTTTGAAAGGATTGGGAGAACTTCAAATTCAAAGGATCAGTCGGGGAAGTGAACTGCCTGAAAAGACAGAAAAATTCCAACCCTACCAGGACTCGAACCCGGACCTTCCTTGTCATGAGCAATGATCTAACCATCTGAGCTGTGGTAGTATGGAACTAGGCCAAACCTAGAAGGCGCTGACAAGTTTTGCACTCCAAAGGCAGCTCACAGCACGGACCGCACATACTGGTGGTACTGGGGTCTTTTACCCTCCCCCAGGGGACCAACCACGGTCAGTTTCTGGAATGTGCTACCAGAGGTGAAAGAAAGTAATTCATTTTTGTCTGGATTGGGATAACTTTAAACTCAAAGAATTCCCCGACTGATCCTTTGAAAGATCAAACGTTCGAAATTGGTCAGATACACCTAGATGTCGTTGGAGGACTTTAGCTGGGGCACACGGACTTAAGGAAACTGTGTTCCTTCCGTAGCGGCCAGTTGCACATGTGTGTCAGCTGGGTCAGCAGCTTAGTCAGCAGGGAAACATTGCTGCTTTCTGGCCTGACACTAGACGTGCATGTAGATTCGTGAGAGCTACAGTCAGCATGGTTATGCAGAGAGCTACAGTCAGTATGGTTGTTCGGTCACGGAATCTGGACTCCAAAGAAGACTGTATTTATTTCTGTTCTTCGTAACTGAACGAAAATCTCTAGACTAATAGTATGCACACATCATCGTGCCTTGGCACGGACATACCAACTCTGCTATTGTCCTCTCTCCAGGACAAAAAAACTCTGCTTTCCAAAGAGACAAAAAAACTCTCTCCTCCCCAAAGTGAAACTGGTACTATCACAAAAGCACAGCTGATAAAGCGAACAGACCTACAGCCAATCAGCAAACCAGTTCCGTCATATGATCCAGCAGGTATTGCATGCCATGCATGTACTAGATTAATGCTACGGTACAGACAATCGCATGTCTAGACAGGTCCTAACAGTGTCTAGTCAGTACTAGCATCATGCTCACATGTGCCGGGTCAGCACACAATACATCGACCTAGCAAACGGTAACCTACGGGATCTACTGGAACATATCCCCCTCTCACACGAGGAGAAAACCACACTAAAAAAAACAAAAACAATCCGAGTGTGACACAACTACATAATCATGTCCATCACTGTTACTCATTTCCAACTGGCAAAGGAACGAGATGATGGATGGCACGTTGCAGGATCTTGCCTCCAATCTTGACGTCCACGACGCGCACCTTGTTGTCCTTTCCTGGGAAGGTCTCCATAATGCGACCCAATGGCCACTCTCCGCGCGGAGTGCCGGGACTCATCCACATCACCACGTCACCCACCTTCAAGCTCTTCTTGGCCTGGCGCCAGCACTTCCGGAGGTTCAAGGATGGTAGAAACTCTCTTTTCCATCGCTGCCACACTTCGTCTACTAATCGCTGTACTGCCGCCCATCTCTTCCGCTGATGCTGATGCTCACCAAGCACCGTCACTTCCTTGGCCAGAGGCGCATCCATACGTCCCACAAGGAAATGCTGGGGAGTGAGGGGCTGATCATCCTGAGCATCATCTGAGACTGTAGTCAGCGGACGAGTGTTGATGAGATGCTCTGCTTCAATCAGTGCGGTCAGCAACTCCTCGTCGGTAAGCGAAGCATTAGCGAGTACTGTGGTGATGGCACGCTTAGCAGCTTTCACAACAATTTCGAATACTCCTCCGAAGTGGGGTGCCCGCGGAGGATTGAACCGCCACTCTATTCCTTCATGAGCGAATTTCCTGCTGACTTGCGTGCGATCAATGGCTTCGCTCGCCTCTCGGAGCTCTCGCTCAGCAGCTGTAAAGTTCGTGCCGTTGTCCGACACCATGATGGACGGAGTGCCGCGACGCTTGATGAATCTGGAGAATGCCATCAGGAATGCTTCTGTGTCGAAAGAGAAGGCCATCTCCAAGTGGCATGCTCTGGTCTCCAAACAGGTGAAAACGCACATGTACCGCTTCTGCTGCGCTCGACCACGCCCTTGCTTTGTGTAGAACGGTCCTGCGTAATCTACTCCACATCTGGTAAATGGTTTGAGAGAACCACACGTGCGATGGTTGGGTAGCGGTCCCATGATCTGCTCCACAGCCTTACTCATCAGTCGGCTGCATGTAACGCATTGTGCACGTACACTTTTGATCGCTGATGTACCATGTACAATCCAGAATCTCTGTCGTAGGTTGGACAGCAGGTGCTGGGTTCCGACACCATGGCAACAGAGGTCGTCTTCGCGCTGGATGAGTAGCGTAGTGACTCGGTGACGCTGTGGTAGGATCACTGGCTGGCGAACACCAACAGGTAGGTTGACAGCATGCTTCAGTCGTCCGTTGACGACCATCAGAGCAGGGTGTGACGTCGCATCCAGGACCGCGTTGAGCCGGTAGAGAGGGTCAGATGGTGGTAATTCCTCACCTGCCCGTAAGCGCTTAAGCGTGGCTGGGTACGCTGACAGCTGAGCTTGTGCAAACCAATGTCGTTCGGCTCCTGCTACTTCTGCTGCCGTCAGCACCGGTACTGTCACTACTGATCTTGGCTTATGACCGCTTGCTAAACGGACATAGACTAGTGGGGCACTGGTGTTGGCGGTGTCGACGTGGGTTTCCCCCCTCGTGACTGTCGCAGTCTGCCGTCGGGCATTTTGTACGAACCGTAAGCACCAGGCAGTCACCCTGGTAAGACGCTCCCACGTCGAATATGTGGCAGGATCTAGTCGAGATGGCGTCACCTGGCTGGCGAATGTCATACATGGCTTCTTCTTCAGCTCACCAGGTAGTTGCGGAGGGGTAGCAAGCTCCACAAGCGGCCACTCTGTCTCCGGTCTGGTCAGGAAGTCCGGACCACTCCACCATGTGTGACGTCCAACGAGGTCCAGCACTTTCATACCTCGAGATGGGAAGTCGGCTGGGTTGAGGACT